GCACAGAATCAGTGCTTGGGAAGTCACATATTAAATTTCCAGTTAAAGTGTCGTTGGGTACTCCTGCATTTGTGCCACGAAAACATTGAAGCCTACTTCTTTTGTGAAGTAAGTCCGAGTTCGCACGCTAATTTCAGGGTTGATAGGCCTGTAACTGAAGGCTTGCTGTTTTTATCTGTTAGCGAAAATGAAAATATATGTCATAAATTTTCTTTATATTTCACTAAAGGAAATTCACCATCTGCCTTTCAGGCCTTTTAAAACTTTGCATACATTAAAGGTTCCTGGTATCAAAAATTTAGAATAGCCGAAGCAATAGAAGGCGCTGTGTTCGTAGGCTAACACTAAGGTTGTTCTAGAAAAACAAATTTAGGTTCAAAAGTAAAATTTAGGACAGGCAATCACAAACTAAAGGTTGAAACTGGTAGATATGATCAAATTCCAAGGTTTACGGCAGACTCTCTTATTTGTGAACCTAATACAATCAAATTGAAGATGAATCTCACTTTCTTATGCCTTGAACTAAATACTCTATTCCAAGAGATAAATTTTATAGAAAAATAGAACATAATTATCGTTCCGTCTTTTAAACAATTATCTCCGTTACAAGCCATCGCCAAACTTATGACTTCTACAAATCATTATATGTTAAAATTCAATTAGAAAAATCCATTCTACTTTCAAATCAAACCGATGCAACTTGATTGCTGTATCAGAACCTTATTATATGGTCACGATAACCGTTACTGTTTTAGTTTTGTATGTATTTATGGTCATATAAATAAATATATTTTTTGTCTTAATGAGCACCAGGAAAACAAAACCCGCTTATCAAGAGAGGGAGCCAACGGGCTGTCTTTTGTTATTACGCAATCAGTGTTTACGTTGGAAGGGACGAGTGCCGAAAACAACAGGAGGCGTACTCGCAATAAATCAACATTCTGGTATTCCAATTTTTCTGTGAAAATTAAAGTTAATAGCCGACGTTTCGGCGTCACCTTGACACCATTCTCAGATTTTGAGCTATTTCTGATTTCAAATTTTCTTAGTTTGCGAAAGATCCGTCTTACAGATTTTTATTTTACTTTGCATGAATGCTAAATCAGAGCCAATTTCTTATTCCTGAAATCTTGAGGTGGGGTCATAGGGTAGATTTTGAGAAAAACATGATTTAGGTACTCGGTCGTTCATTTTGGTCATTTGGTGACGTTTAACTGTTCAAGTTTCACATAGAATGGTAAAAGACTTAAGTAAACAGTAAATAGGGAAAGGAAAAACATCTTGGAACATTTTTCAAAAGAGTTACAAGTTGGGCTGTTATAATCCATAAAAACTGTAGTAAGCCACCTTAAAAGTCATCAGTGAAAGTCATTTTGGAAAATCACAGGCCATGGCCACTTACAAAATCAATATTCACAAGGAAAGAGATTATTTATTTTGAGGGCAACGAAATAGGGTCATTCACAAATCAGAAAAATGTCATTTACGGTTCTTTACCACTCCGTATTAAAAAAACGAAAATTTACAGAAACATGTCTCAATCTCATATATAAACAATAGCTTCCATTTAGCGTGAAAAAATGGACGGACATTATCTGTTCCGAGAAGCAAACAGTTTTCCCAGAGCAAAGCTGGCGGAAAAAGTGTGAGCTTCGAGATTCGAGGAAAACTGTGAGCCTCGAGGAACAGATAATGTTCAAGGACAAAAATCCCAGCATATTATTGAGGTCAAATTGAGGCTATTTTGTTTATTCTACTTTAAGTGGTAGTTTGCGCAACACGCCGGGTTTTTTGAAAATTGGGGAATATCCCCGGTTTTAACTATGGCATATTCAGATACGCTACCGGCTTAGACCATTCGCGCGCGAGCAAAAACAATTGGTGGCTTATAGCATAATATAAATGTATGAACTGTTGCTGTTCCGTTTGTTTTGTCTTCTATTTTTCCTTTAATGAGACCACGTGTAACAAAGTAATACAATTTATAGTAAAGACGTCTGTCCACAATCATTGTTTTCGATTGGTTATTTAAATTTCCCCGCAGTTAGACGAGAGAGATCCTAACAGTTCCCTTGATGGTTTATTTAAAACATTATTAACAGGTAGTTTTCAAGATACCTTCTAAGAAGTTCAAAAAAAGATCGGTAAAAAATCTATGGGAAAACTCCCAGCGTAGCGCCAAAACCGAATTCTGCTCCAGTGTTGGGCTGAATTGATTGATAACATCGACAATTTAAACGTGCCAGTTCAAGTCAAATTTCAACGTCGTTTATTTGCTTGTTTAAAAACTGAAATACTAGATTTTGACAATTGCAAGGCAACAGGCTGCTCTCTGATGGTAGCAGAATCATGGCGCATGAAAAGGTGAGGTTTAAAGTTTTCTAGTGTCTTTATTTTCCCAAGAATTTCTTTTAAACAAACATGAAATATTAGCTTCCTTCTGCTTTCATTATAGCGTTATTTAAGTAAACGTTTATGACAAGGGGAAAAAACTTGAATTTGTTCCTGTCGCTTCCAAACTGTCGTCGCATCTATGCTGAGCTGACACTGAAAAAGATCAATATCATGGTCATTCATATAGTTGCTTTACAGTTTTAAGCCGCTCGATCTATCAAACATTTCTTTTATTTACGAAACTAAGAAATAGTCCCTAACATTCGTCGACCGCTCGATCGTTCACGTACAATAAGAAATCGAAACATTTTCTTTGAGAAAGCCGCTTGGCTGAAAAGCTACAATATATTTCTGCTCGGCTACCGTGACTTAGGCCAAATGCCATGTTCAAAGGCTTCCACGTCGACCGAAATTCTAATGTTAATAAAATAAAAGATCAGAACGCAGAAGCGATTCATTTCGAGTTATGTTCTTAGCGTTGGCTATTCTCTTCTTTGCCACTCTGGTTAAAAATTAAAAAAAAAATGTTATTGTTAAATTTAAGCGAAGTAGAAAAATTGAAACGCGCGCAGTACGTAGCTTTTATTCAGTCAGTAGATAGCTGTTATTACGTATATCTATAAGAAGCGAAAACGTTCCGAAATCGGAAATATATTTACGTGCTGTAAATCGAAATCGAAAATAAATTACATGTAAACTGATAACTGGTCTCAGTGTTATTTGTGCCACGAAAACATTGAAGCCTACTTCTTCTGTGAAATAAGCTTGAGTTCGTACGCTAATTTCAGGGTTGATAGGGCTGTAAAAAGGCTTGCTGTTTTTATCTGTCAGCGAAAATGAAAATATGCGGGATAAATTTTCTCTATATTTCACGAAAGGAAATTCACCATCTACCTTTCAGACCTTTCAAAACTTTGCGTACATTAAGGTTTTCGATATCAAAAACAGTTTAGAACAGCCGAAGCAATAGAAGAAGCTGTATTCGCAGGCTAATATTAAGGTTGTTCTAGGAAAACAAATTTAGGTTTAAAAGTAAAATCATATGCGTCTTAAAGGACCACACTCAACCAAAATGCATTGCGGGCGAGCACTGTACCGGCGCCATTTTCTGTAATAC